TGAAGAGGAGCTCTGGCTTGGTGGTAAGGAATTCAGCTGCCCACCCAAAGGCACGTGATTTGAATCCATCAACTGCCCTTGAGGACAAAGATGGGCAGTCTCCTCTCATGTGATTTATAGCTTCTGAAAACCCATGGGAGAGTCAACTATGAGTAGATTCCAACACAGCTGTACATAGCAACAACCATGTGTATGAGGACTTTGGGTTTTGGTTTTTGTGGTTTGTTGTTTTTTTTTGGTTTTTTTTTTTTTTTTTTTTCATTTATTTACATCCTGCACTGCTTGGACTTGTGTGTAGGGTAGAGTCTTCATAAAGAAGATAACCAATTTCTGGTTTAATAGCAAGTTATACTGGAAGAATCCCTAGCCTAGAAATGGTTGCGTTCTAGTTGCATTGACAGTGGGAAGACTTAGCCTCACAAACAAAGAGACTATGCGTGCACACCCATGTTTGTTGTGGTTTTGTTCACAATAGCAAAGAGCTGGAAACAACCCAAGGGCCCATCAACAAGTGAATGGAGAAGCTCTGGTTTATTCACACAATGGAATACTATGAAGCACTGAAAAACAAAGAATTCATGAAATATTATGCAAAATGGATGACCCTGGAGAACATTATGCTGAGTGAAATATCTCAGTCACAAAAAGGACAATTATTGCGTAGGGCCACTGTTGTAAAATGGAACTAACATCAGGGCTGAGTGAAGACATTGAAACAGATGAGGGGGAGAACTGTTTAAAAGGGATATATGAATGGGTATTGCAGGCTGCGTAGTGGAGTGGACTTGGGGGTGGGGGATTGCATAACAATGAAAGAGTTTTTCTTTCTTTTCAAGGAGAAGAGTGAATTGGAGGGGAGAGGGTGGGTAGGGAGAAAAGTGCAACAATGAATGACTGGAAACCCTAAGTCTCTGTAAACTTTCATTAAAATTAATTTTAAAAATTTTATAAAAAAGAGACTATGTGTAAGTTGGAGACAGGGCCAGTGAAACAAACAAGAGACCTTCAGCAAGAGGGATTGACACACTGGCTTCAGCACTGGGCACGTGCATCAGCAATTATAAAGAGGATGCAGGACCAGGGAGCACTTCATTCTGTTGTATGTAGGGTCCCTGTAAGTTGAAAACAACGTTATGGCACCTAACAGCTTACACCTCTGGGGCCAGGGGTGGTTGAATGGTTGTATGCTTGACTTCCATGCAGGAGACCCAGAGTCAGTTCCCAGTCAGTGGCTCTCAGGCACAGCCACTTATCAGTGGAAGTTTGTGTTGTTGCCAACATGATATTGAGCAGGTTTCAGTGGTGCTTCCAGACTAAGACAGATCTGGGCCAAAGATGTACAGATCCACTTCTGAAAATCAGCCAGTAAAAACCCCATGGATCACGGTGATTGGATTCCCTTGTGGACAACATCTTCCTCAGTCAGGACCACCTCAGTGGCAGCTACAGAAACAGCGCTCACAGCTCCAATGGGAAGCTCTGGAGGAGTCGCCCCCAAGGAACCTACTTGTATTCCTTCAGAACAAAGTAGTGAGAGAAGATACACCTTGAGTTTGACCAGACTCCAGTGTTTAATGATTCTGGTCTTTTCTCTGTCCTTTTCTCCTCCCTCTCCCTCTCTAATTAAATGAAGTAATGATGCATTTCTGAAAAATTTCTTGATCTTCTTCCACTTTGTTTCAGTTCATTGGGTTTATTAAATAAGTTAAAGTTTAGCAGAACTTGGTTTAATGCTCTTTTAGCTGGATTCATAACTATATTTTGGATCTGGAAAATAGAAGGGCAAACATATCCCATATAAGGAGATTAAGAGTTGCTCAACTTCTTAAGCGTAAAATGGAATCATGCAGGAGAAAATACAGCACAACGCTTATGAGTTGGGATTCTGCAGCCCACCTACAGCAAACAAACCCACTGTACTTGAGTTGATTCTAACTCATAGTGACCCGTGGGTTTCATGGTAGACCTACCGTCCATGGGCTTTCAGTGGCTGTGACTTAAGGAAGTAGATTACCAAGCTTCTCTTCCTTGGCACTGCTGTGTGGATTTGAATACCCAAAGTTTTGGTTAGTTGTTGTTAAGTGTTACAACCACTCACAGTGACCCTATGAACAAGGGATTGAAGCCTTGCCCTATTATGGTTAGTAACTAACCAACTTATGTGCCTTCGAGTTGCTAGTGACTCATAGTGACCCTATGTACAACAGCTCTGAATGTTGCTTTATCCTGAGACAACAATTTCATTGTCTCAAACAAACCTCTTCCCATGGCCTGGTCATTGAGTCAATCCATCTCATCCAGGTTCTTCCTCTCCTGTACTGTCCCTCCACATTTTTCTTCCCTCCACCTTTTTAAGCATGATGTCCCTCTCCAAGGACTGGTCCCTCCTGGCAGCATGCCCGAAGTATGTCAGTTATTATTACTACGTACAGTCGAGTCACCTGCGACTCATAGCAAGTCTGTGTACAGTAGCTCTGAAGCATGCCCTGTCCTGAGCCAGTCTCACTGACTCTGACACACCTACCACCATTACCCTAGAGCTTCAGAACCCTTGCCTCCAAGGAACAACCTGGGGTCACCCTTCCAAGACAGACCTGTTTGTTCTCTTAGCAGTCCATGGTATGTTTAATACTCTTTTTCAGCATCACAACTCAAAGACATCGATCTTCTTCTTTCAACCTTAGTCATTGTCTGGCTCTCTGATGCATCACAAGTAATTGTGAAGACCATAGCCTGGATCGGGCACAGCTTAGTCTCTAGACTGATACCATTCCTCTTCAACACTGTGGAGAGGTCCCTGACAGTAGATTTAATCTAAAGCAGTTTGTGTTTTTATTTCCTGGCTGCTGATATCAAGTGTGCTGATTGTGGAACCAAGCAAGCTGAAGCTGTTAACAATCTTAATCTCTTCTCCATCTATCAGTTGGTCCAGTGGTGAGATTCTTTGTTTTCTTGTTGTTGAACTTCAGTCCATATCTAAGGCTGAAGTCCTTGATCTTCTATAGCAAACGTCTCAGGTTCTCCTGAATTTCAGCACACGAGGTTGTGTCATCTTCATAACGCAGGTTATTGATGAGTCTTCCTCCAATCCTGTTGCAACATTCCTCCTCATAAAGTCTGGCCTCTGGGATGATCTGTTCCACAGGTTGTTTGAAAAGGTATAAATCATGCCAAGTAATCCAGGAGCCTCCTCTCTGAGTTCAAAGTCTTCCTCCCTCACTTGTCCTTCTTCATGACTCTGGGAATTTCAGGGGCCTTCTTGATGCCTCAGATGGAAATAATTGAAACATGTTGTGTAGAGTTGACATAAGGATTGTTTGTTTTTGTTAGGTGCGGCTAAGGCAATTCCAGCTCCTAGAGACCCTAGAAACAACAGATCTGAACATTGCCCTGTCTGCACGTCCACTCGACCTTTCATGCTCACACCCTCTGTGGGAATCACAATAAGGATTAGATGAGATAATAGATGAAAGAATAGTGCTGGGTCCACATTAGTTAGCATGTTGTTGTTAGGTATGATGGGTCAAAGCCAACTCTCCAGCAGGTTTTCAGAGGCTATAAATAACACCCTCTCCAAGTCAGACCTATTTGTTTTCTTAGCGGTCCGTGGCATGGTTAAGACTTTCTCCAGTTTCACAACTCAGAAGCATCAATTCTTCATCTGTCATCCTTAGTCATTGTCTAGCTCTCTGACACATAGCAAGTAGTGGCACAGACTATGGCCTGGAGCAGGGACACCTTAGCCTCTAGGCTGACATTATTACCCTTTAGTATTCTGGAGAGATCTGTGACAGCAGTTTTTCCCAGTGCAATTTGTCTTTTGACTTCCTGGCTACTGGTGCCAAGAATGTTGATTATAGAGCCAAGCAAGCTGAAATTGTTAACAACCTCAATCTCTTCTTCATCTGTCGTAATCCATTATGGAAGGGTGGGGTCAGCACAGAAGAGGAAGACTTTGGATGAGGTGGATTGACACGGTGACTGTGGCAATGGGGGCAGGTATGTCAGAGATGAGGAGATTGGCTCAGGATAGGGCACAGTTCAGAGCCATTGTTCATAGGGTCACTATGAGGTGTAGTCAGCTTGACAGCACATAGCAACAATGGGTGTTTAGAGTTAATGTCTCTGACTTAGCAAACCCTCTCACATTCTGAGCACATGCCCCTGTCATGAGAACTCCGTGGGCACATGCAGTATGTGTGGCAGATAGAGACTCAGCCAGAGATTGGATACAGCAGCCTTTTTTCATCTGAGGTCTTCACTGTCAGACTTACATCAACAGTGGCTCCTTTTCTACCTGACTTTCAGTCCCAACACTTTTCCTATTGAATCTTCAGATGCATCCATATGATCACACACAGTTCCCATAATAAGTCACCCCAAAGCCCATTTCTATCCTTAAAGGAAAAATCCACTTCTGTTGGCAAAGGCTGCCTTTGCTGGGATAACTTTGCTGGTTCCGTTCCGTGTCTGGGATACCTGATTCTGAGGCATCCTGTCCGCTTCACAGCTGGGACTTAGGCTGACTGGGAAGCCATCACACTGCTCTGCCCTGGGGACTTGAGGCCGGATGAACAAGGCTGCAAGTCACACCCTAATAACTCTTGACTGTCCAACGCAGATAAAGTGATTTATCAGTCTCGAAAATTAGATAATCCCCAGAGGAAGACATCCAGAATGGCCAAACTCATTTAACCTTATTCACGGCGTCTCCCAACAGCACTCCTGGGCTCAAGGGAGTACGATTTACTCTGTGATAAATGGGGGATTTTATATCACAGTTAAGCAGGGCTTTGGAGGTGCTCCTGCATCGCAAACACAAGGAAAATAAAGATGCTGCTGGTGGTTTTGTAACATCATCGCACACAGAATTCTCTGTAAGGTGAGGGGTTTTCTTTTGAACGCTTTGGGTTTTATTTGTATGTATGTTTGCATTGTTCGCTGATGTTTCTCTGATATCGCTGGGCGTGTTCTCTTCATCACTCTTTGTCATTGTTTAGGGTCAAGGAGTGAAAAAGAACAGACGCCTCGCTTTGGAGCTGATGAAGAAGGCAGCTTCCAAGGTAATCCTTCTGCACCTTGGTCCAGGAAAACATTTGCGCAGCACACTCCCACGCGCACTGCCACGGTGAAAAGCATGAATGGACCTCCCCTGGGTGGGAGCAGGGCAGGGAGGGGTCGAGGCCCCGTGCTGATTTGTCATTTTTTTTGAGTTACAACACATCCAGAAAGCTACGATGGAGACAGCAAATTTCAAAAGCAGCCTTCACCTTCCAGTAAATAGAATCCCAGCCCAATTTGTTTGAAGGCTAAAATTATAATCACCGCCTGCCCCAATAACAAGCAGTGAGGCTCCTTGAAATTGAATGGGCTTAAAGGCTATTGAATAAGGAAAAGCTGGCACCTTTGAAGGTGAACTCCAACACGTCCAGATGCCTTTGGTAATGGGGCTCCGGTAATGGGGCTGTTTGTCCAGTATATTGCGAGGTTTATGAACTCTTTGGCTTTTGTCTATTTGTTCTTCAGTCGTATATTCAAGCAAGCTGGTTTAAATGTCGCCCCTTTTAATATTGTTGGAGATAAGTTACGTATGTAAGCATAAACACACACACACACACACACACACACATATATACACACACGCACACATACACACATGCCTTTGTAAGCTATCATGCTTGCAGGTTTATAAGGAGATATAGAAACCACTGGACTTCTGTAACCTTGACAGTGGCTGTTTAACTCATCACCAGTGAATCTGAACTGACTCATCTCTGACCCTCCAATGGGTCTTCTGAGGCTCTAAATCACACAGGAGGAGACTGTCCATTTTTCTCCCAAGGAGCACCCTGATAGATTCGAACCACCTGCCTTTGGATTGGCAGCGTAACTCTTTAACCATTAGACCACTAGAGCTGCCTGATGGTTGTTGTTGTCATTAGGTGCTGTGAGGTATATGACTCCTACAAACCCTGTGAACACAGATCTGAGCCCTGCCCTGTCCTGTGCCACCCTCGTCATTTCTGGCACACGTGAGCCCATTGCAGCAGTCACCATGTCAATCCATCAATTGCTGCCAAATCAGTTCTGACTGCTGGCCACTCCTGGTGTGCAGAATGGAACTGCACTCTAGGATTTTCCTGGCTGTGACCTTTCTGAAGCAGGTTACCAGGCACATCTCCCAAGACACTCTGGTCAGGTTCACAAAGCTAACCTTTCAGCTCATAGTCAAGTGCTTATCGACGTGCCCCAGCCAAGCACCTATGCAAATTTGACTTGACTCTATTGCTTCGTCACCCTGACCTTGAAATGTGCTTCTCCCTCCAAGGCTGCTGCAGTTTGCTCAAGCAGTGATGCCTCCTAAAACAATCACGCCGCATTCCTTGTCATGTCCTCAGAGGGTTGTTTGCATAGAGGAGGAAGCTGGAACATGAAATTAGAGCTACAAGAGGCTTTGCCTTCCTCTGTGGGGTGTGAGGAAGACTCATGACCCAGGGGAAGGGAAGTTGCAGAAAGGCAGGTGAATGGCGGGCATTGAGGAAGATGATTCTAGTTATTGCTGTTGGATGCTGTTGAGTTGACTTCAACTTATAAAAACTACAGTGCGCCAGAGGAGGACTGCCCCATCGGGTTTTCTATGCTGTGATCTTTATGGGAGCATATCACCAGGTCAGTCTCCCAAAAGCTGTTGGTTAGGTTTGAATGTCTAACCTTAGCATTAGCTGCCATCTTCATAAGGGACGCTCTTCTTTCATTTGTGAAAAAGACAAGTAAGGAGATGAGATCCATATTTAGATTCTGACGAACTCCACGTGTGACACAATTTGCACCTTGACTATGCAATCTAAACATTAGCAGTTCAGACCCACCCAGCAGCACTGCAGAAGAAAGCTGGCTAACTGCTTCCATAAAGACTCAAAAGAAACCCGAAAACCTAACCCCATTGCATCTGGTCAATTCTGACTCATAGTGACCTTATAGGATGGGGTAGAGCTACCCCATAGATCCCCAAGGCTGTCCATCTTCACAGAAGCAGACTGCTCCGTCTTTCTCTCATAAAACAGCTGGTAAGTTTGAACATCTGATCCTTCATTTAGCTTCAGTTCAGCACTTTACCCGCCTGACCATGAGGGCCCCTCTGTAAAAATGATAACCAAGAAAGGCCCATTGAGCAATTCTGTCCTGTAACACATGGGTTCACCAGGAGTTGAAATTGATCAGACAGCAACAAGTTTAGGGGTGTTTTTTCCCCCTTGACTTTTTAGATTCTGATTTACCAAGATTCACAGACGTTAAAGTAGTCCTGACATTGTCTATAGTGCATCGCACTGCGAGCCCCGAGGCCTTGAGCCTCCGGCAGGTGGGATCCCCCAGGCTTCTTGAGAGAAAGATGGGCAGTCTCTTTCCTTTGCAATTTACACAGCTTTGGAAACCTACTGGAGAGATCCAACTCAACGACAGTGAACTTGAGTCTGCAGGGGTATTATTTACCCCTCAAGGGTGTCCCCCTACCCCGCCTGTTGTTCATCATGGTCCTCTGCACCTGGCAGAAGGTCAGGAGAGTACCAGGTGTCGGTGCCCAGGTGTGCACACTGTCTTGACGCTCACAGGAAGCTTTAGTGGGATCCTCTTGGCGAGAGCAGGGAAGCTTGAGACTGGATGTGGGTCGATAGGTCCTTCCCTGATAGAACACCTGGGCTTAGACCTCCCATGCACCGTGCCCTCTCCTACCTTTGCCCCCCACCCCATCTTCCCAATCCACTGTCAGAACCAGTGATGCTAAAACAGATGCCCGCACTTAGCATGTGACCCTTCCCTGTCGCCCCTTCCGAGGTCCGATTGGTGTTCAGGGCAGAAGAATCAACAGATGGGCAGGTAGGTCATGGAGAAATTGTCTTGCCCAGGGCTGCATCGGGCCTGTGTGACAGCTGAGTGCTCATGGATTTCAAGGGCACTGTTGGTACGGCAGGCCTTTTATAGGCTAAGGCATTTCGTCAGTGCCCGCAGGACAAAGCGATGGTTTGGGGACAGCATCCGTCTTTGTGCTGGGACTGAAAGCCCAGCAGCAGCAGTATGGGATCCTTCTGGGAAGACTGGCAGGCTCCTTTTTCTAGAACTCTTTGTTACTGCCATCTGCCTTGACAGAAAGAGACAGCTCTACTCCTACTCCGCCAAAGCATTTTCACAATTGCTTCCAGGCTCTCTTTCATTTTCACCTTTTTAAATAAATAATAGGCATTTTTGTCTTTTGTTACAAAATTCAGGGGTTGCATCAGGCCGTCAATGGCCTAGGATGGTATTACCACAAATTCAAGAAGAATTATGCCAAGGCAGCCAAGTACTGGTTGAAAGCAGAGGAGATGGGAAACCCAGATGCCTCATATAATCTCGGAGTCCTCTACTTGGATGGCATCTTTCCGGGCATCCCTGGGAGGAATCAGGTGAGTAGGACCAGAGACCAGCTCTACAGCTTCTGATCAATCTTTCTTCACTGGCAGTTAAGGAAAGAGTCACCGGGTATCCAACCTAGACCAGACACTGTGGGTGGTGCAGACACAGCCCAAAATGTGGGCCCAGTCTTCTTATGTGGACTCAGAGGTGTTCTGGGAAAGACGAGTCAGCAAAGATCAAAGGATGGCGTTTAGTCAAGGATTGTGTGTGTGTTCAGTGGTGTGACTCAAGCACAAGTTCTAGAAAGGAGAATCAGTGAAGGTCAAAGTCACAGAGACATCGCAGGAGAGGAACACTTGAATGGTGAGGTAAGAATGATGAGTGAGGAAACTGATCTGAGGAGAAACCAAGAGCTGGATCCAGGTATGGGGCCTGGTCTGAGGCCAGATTTAGTCATAATGAAAGCAGCCTTGGCAAGGTAGAGTATTTGGGGAGCTCCTCCTTTGTGCCAGGAACTGTACAAGCACAGTCTGATCCAGTCTTGCCCAATCATCTGCATTCTCTGCATTGATTACACCCATTTTACAGGATAAATCACTGAGGTAGTGAGAGTTGAACTAGTGACTCGGTCATACACTTACTGGAATCAGGTCCAGGGCCCAGGTGTGAAATGGCAGTCCTTGTTATTGTAGAGGTTATGGATGGTCGTAATCCAAATCCAAGCACCCTGCATTCCACTGAATTTGTTTCATTTATCCAGTGACTTTGTTGAAGCCATCAGGCTTTGTTCTAGACACAGGGCTCCAGAAGCAGGCAAACTAGAGAGCCGCTTCTCTTGTGAGGTTTACTTTCTAGTGGGAGGAAGGATGGTAAACAAATGAAGATATGAAATGAGAAAGGTGGTGTGTTAGGGGACAACATCAAACAAGGGGAGATGGACAGGCAGGGTGGAGATAGGGGACTGATACGTATTAGGGAGTGAAATCACACTAACAAAAGGTCGTTCGAATCCAGTGGCTCCAAAGGAAAAAGATGACCAGTCGTCTTCGTGCAGTTTACAACCTGTGAAAACCCACGGGAGGGTCAGCTGTGAGTCAGTTGCAGCTCGATAGCAGTGAGGTTTCTATTTTGTCTTCTAAAAAGAAGACAGAAAAGGAGGGGAGGAATGATGTATATTGAAACAGATGAGGGAGGCAACTGTTTAAAAGGGACATATGAATGGGCGTTCTTGTCATTACAGAAGTCCAGAGTGAAGGCTGCATAGTGGAGTGGACTTGGGGGAGAGGGATTGCTTAACAATGAAAGAGTTTTTCTTTCTTTTCAAGAAGAGTGAATTGGGGAGGAGGGGCTGGGTAGGGAGAAAAGTGCAACAATGAATGAATGGAAACCCTAAGTCTCTGTAAACTTTCATTAAAATAAATTTTAAAAAAAGAGAGAGAACAAAGGAGAGAAGGGAGAGACTATTTAGATGGCTTCCTAAATCTCATACACACAGAGATAGATTTAAATGACAAAAAAATAATCTTAAAAATAAAAAACATGAAGAAAAAAAAAGAAGACCCCTCTGATGTGGTGACTTGGTACAAGATCCTGTAGAAAGTGTTGACAGAAGCTTTGCAGATACATGGAAGAACATTCAAGAAAGAGGGAACAGCCAAAGCAAAGAAGTCCCCCACCCTACAGTGGGACAGACACAGGCTTGACATGTTTGAGGGCAGCGGGAGAGGAGGATGAGGAACAGAGTGGGGAGACAGGTCAGAGAGGTAGTGAGACCGGGTAGCTGAGGACCTGGCTTCTGCTCTGAGGAGGATAGGAAGCGCCCAGACAGCTTTGGAGAGAAAAATGGGGTGTTGTGTTTTGGAAGGCTCCCACTAGATTTTCATGGTGACTGAGATGAAATGTGGACAAGAAAGCAAGAGGAGGCAGCAGGGTGGGGACTGTGGGGGCATCAATACACTGAATCCATGTGAGGAGGATGGTGGATGCAGCCAGAAAGTATCCGTGGTGGGGCGGAGGGATGACAGGAGCTGGATGGTTTTTGAAGGTTAAGGTGGCAAACCTGGCTTTTGGATTGCATGTTTGAGAAGGGTCAGGGATGACACCAGGGTGTCTGGCATTTATTGGGGCGAGAAGAATGGTTGTTGTTGGTGGTGTTGTTGTTAAGTTCTGTCGAGTCGTTTGCGACTCATAGCGACCCTATGTACAACAGCCCTAAACCCTGCTCTATCCTGTGCCAATCACACTGTCTCCAACACATCCATCACGATTACCCCAGTCACTGAATCAATCCACCTCATAGAGGGTCTTCCCCTTCTGCACTGTCCCTCTACTCTACCCAGCATGATGTCCCTCTCTAAAGACCTGTCTCTCCTAGCAACATGTCCAAAGTATGTCAGACGAAGCCCCAGAATCCTTGCCTCCAAGGAGTAGCCTGCTTTAACCCTCTCTAGGATGAATCTGTTTGTTTTCTTGGCAGTCCATGGTACATTCAGTACTCTTCTCCAGCACCACAGCTCAAAGTCGTCAATTCTCCTTCTATCCTCCCTAGTCATTGTCCAACTCTCTGATGCATAACAAGTGATTGCAAAAACCATGGCCTGTATCAGGCGGACCTTAGTCTCCAGAGAGACACCGTTGCTCTTGAGTTCTTTAGAGAGGTCCCTCACAGCAGACTTTTCCATCGCAATACGTTTTTGATTTCCTGGCTGCTGGTGCCAAGAGTGTTGACCGTGGAGCTGAGCAAACTGAAGCTGTGAACAATCTCAATCTCTTCGCCATCCATCCTGATGCTACCGATTGGTACAGTGGTGAGAATCTTTGTCTTCTTGACATTGAGCCTCAATCCATACTGAAGGCTGCAGTCCTTGACCCTCTGTAGTAAGTGAGAAGAATGGAGGTGGCATTTATTGAGGTGGCAGCAGCAAATCTGGGATGGAGGAAGGGGAAGGTTATTCTTAGGAAGCACTGTTCTAACCCCACAGCTCTGGTTAAGTGATGGATCGCTACCTGAATGGTTGGTGGTTTGAACCTTTCATCCCCTCCTGGGAAGAAAGATGAGCAGTGTGGGCTTCTGCAAAGACCCTACAGAATGTTCTACTCTATGCTACAGGGTTGCTGTGAGTCTCAGTTTCCTGGATAGTAGTGGCTTTGATTTCTGGCTTGCTGCTTAACCTTGAGAATGTAATCATCTCACTTAATCCTTGCTGTCACCTGTCATCTTAGGTATAATCAGAAGCTGTGCTTTTCCTAGGCAAGAAGGTTTGGAGAGATTCAATACCATGCCCCAGATCATGCATCTAGGAAAGGCAGACCTGGGATTGGAACCTGAGCCGGTCTCACTCCAAGGCCACACTTCTAAAAACATTTGACTGCGGCTAAAAAATAATGACTGAAAATATGTCCCTCTCAGTGTTTATTTTCATTTCCCACCCTCTCTTATGAGAGAGATTATGAGGTTTATTTTTTGCATTGCAAATGTCTGGTAACCCTCCCACACATCTGCAAGCCTGCAGTGTTTTATTGTCCTATTCTAATTCTCACCTTCCCACTGTAAATGGAATTTTTGAGTCTGAGTTTGAACAAAGGTATTGAGCAAGGTTAGGCAAGCAGTTGCTCGAATTGTCACCTGATGTGACTTCTGATAAAGCTTTGGATCTGGCTGGCCAGGGTTATTCAGGTTCAGTGAGATAGCATGGGACGAATGCTTACATGCTGTCTTATTTAAGGAGGCCTGGTGGCATGGAGTGTAATGCTAATTGGAAGGTCAGAAGTTCAGATTCACCTGCTACTCCATAGGAGAAAGATGGACAGGATTTTCGTATAAAGATTTACAGATAGAGGGTCACTATGCTTTGGAGTCTACTTGACAGCAATTCATCCTAGAGAGGGTGAAACCAGGCTGCTTGGGGGAGGCAAGGATTCTGATGTTCTATCTGACAGACTGTGGGCATGTTGCAAGAAAGGGACCATTCCTTGGAGAGGGATGTCATGCTTGGAAGGGTGGTGGAGGGACAGCTCAGGAGAGTAAGACCCTTGATGAGGTGGATTGACTCAGTGACTTGGCGTAATGGGAGTGAGGGGGTGTGTCCGAGACAGAGAGGTTGGCACAGAATAGAACAGGATTCAGAAATGTTGTTCATAGGGTCACTATGAGTCTCAAGCAACCTGAGAGCATGTAACAACAGCAACAACAGTGCCTTACATGCTGGGCAGCTAACCAGAAGGTTGGCAGTTTGAATCCACCAGCCACTCCTTCAGAAAAGAGCTTTGGAAACCTGATGTAAGGTCACCAGGAGTCAGAATTACCTCCATGGCTGTGAGTTTAATAAATGAGTGATACTGCAGGTAAGCAGAAGACTGCTGACCCAAGGTTCATGGTTCAAACCCACCAGCACCTCTGCAGCCAAGAGATGTGGCATTCTGCCCCTGTGAGGATTTGCAGCCTCAGAAACCTTTGAGGGCAGTTCTGCTTTGTCAGGGTAGCAGAACTGACTCCTGAGCTGGAACTCAATCCATGGCAGTGGGCTTCGGTTGTCTTATTTATTGGGCAAAACTAATCAACAAGAGAGTTCAGACCAGGTCACCACATTCCAGGGGTGGTTTTCCGTGAAGGGCCCCCAGCTCCAGCTGTGTCCATGGAGGTGGGGGTCTTGAACCATTCCTCTTCAACACCCTACAGAGAATTTGCATCTCTATCTTGAGTACAGAGACTCAGAATGTCCATTTTAACCACATCTCCCTGATGGTTTTGATAGGTTCCCTAGAGGGGCTTACTTTTCTTAATGGTGTTAGAGATTTGAAGCTATGATATTGATATCTCAAGCCCCCCTCCTCCTCGCTCCCCTAAAACCACTGAAGACCAGAGGATGCCTCGCCTGATGATTGTGATATTTCTGAACCTCTCTTCACAGACGCTGGCGGGTGAATATTTCCATAAGGCAGCCCAAGGCGGACACATCGAAGGGACACTGTGGTGTTCTCTGTACTACATCACGGGCAACCTGGACACGTTCCCGAGGGATCCCGAGAAGGCTGTTGTGTAAGGAGGGGCCAGATACACCTGTGCAGGGGGAAAGGGTGCTGGGTTAACGGCACTGGAGGAAAAGGAGTCATCTTATTCTGCATATTAAAGAAATTGCATTTTACTGTACACGCACGTAGTTTATAGCAGCTGCACATCATTTAAAGAGCCAAATGGTTTCACAAGGAAAGCAGGAGATCTCTGTCCGCCAGCTGCCACTGCACTCACTTCCTGCTCCCTAAAATGAATTGCAAGAAGTCCGGGTGAGTGGTAGTTGTTGTTTTGTTGTTGTTATGTGCCATTGAGTCAGAACTGACCCAGAGCTGACCCTTCAGCAGGTTTGCAGAGGCAGTAAATTGCACAGGAGGAGAGTTCCCATCCTCCCGGGAGCATTTGCTGGATTTGAACTGCGTGCCTTGCAGATGGCAGCCAGCTTTTTTTTTTTTTAACGTGAGGCCACCAAAGCTCCCTTCTGGTGGTTAAGTCCTTAGCAAATTCAGCTGCTCACCCAAACTCTGCAGGTTCAAATCCACCCAAGACTCTGGGGGAGAAAGATGTACTATCTCCTCCTATTATCATTCACAGCCTCATAAACCTGGTGGAGAATGTCTTTGAGTCCAATTCTTTGGCCGTGAGTTTGGTCTGAGAGTAAATTGGTTTTAGTGTTTCTTTGTGGTTTAACTCTGACTCTAAATTCTGTTCTTACCTGACTCTTCCCTGGTGTTACCTTCGTAGTAGGAACCTGTTTCTGTTGTGGCCACTCTGACCCATGGTGACCCCTTTTGTTATAGGATAGAACTGAGCTCCATAGAATTTCCTTCACAGGAATCTTTTTGAAAGGAGCCTTGACAGTGTTAGGGGGAGTGTCAGTGATTAGGAGTTCAATCCCACCCAGCAGCTCCACAGGAGAAGACCTGGGGATCTTATCTGATAAAGAGGACTGCTGAGAAAATGCTATGGGGCAATTTTGCCTGATCACCTGGGGCTCACTGCAAACAGGTGGCCAGTTGTTTCTTCTGAGGCCCTTCTGTAAGTTCACACCAGCACTCCTCCACTTGGTAAGGGAGCATACGCTGTGCCAGCCGGGAGCGTTGTCTGATGGTGCCCCTCTGTGGAAGGTAGCAGCTCTCTCTTCTGCTTGCCTGCCTTCTCACACACACATTCAGACTTTCTACCCATCCTTCTTTTTCCTTTAAGTATGTGATCCTTTTGGTTAGACTGGCTTCAGGTTTTCCATCATGTTCGCACTCAACACTCATTGCTGTCGAGTCAGAGCTGACTCATGGCTGAGCGTGCAGCAGCTTTTCAGAGGCTGTAAATCACAGGGAAGAAGATTGCCCATCTTTCTCCCCTGGAGCAGCTAGGGGATTCAGACTGCCTGTCTTTGGGTTAGCAGCACAGTTCCTTAACACTAGACCACTAGAACTCATCTATTCCATTATTATTGTGGTTATGTGTCATCAAATCGCCTGCAACCCATAGCGACCCTATATACAGCAGCTCTGAAGCCTACTCTGTCCTGAGCCAGTCTCACTGATTCCAATACACCAATCCCCATTGTTACTGTGTCAATCCATCTCATCCGGGGTTGTTGTTAGGTACTGTCAAGTATACCCCATAATGACCCTATGAACAAACACTGGAACCCTGTTCTGTTCGGTGCCATCCTCATCTTGAGCCCATTAACTGCAGTCACTGTGTCAATCCATCTCACTGGGGTCTTCCTCTCCTTCGTTGACCTTGCATCTGTGTCAGTCCATCTCATTGGGGTCTTCCTCTCCTTTGGTGACCTTCTGTCT